CAACTCCGATGCTATCATAGAATACACGGTACTCACACAAACAGTGCTTAATGACGCGGCTGTAACTCCAACACCTGCCAAGATCACTACTACAACAGCAATGTGGTCAGGCTTTGACGGAGGCAGCGCGCGCCAGTTCCTGCACTGCACGTGCGTCCCATCGTCGCCGTGGCGTCGGATAACAGTGGCCCTTTTGGTCGGGGGGAGGGGGTGCAGGGATGGGGGAGGGAATCCCTGGGCTGGGTGGGCAGTCGATTGATATTTCTTTACATTGAGAGCTTTGATCACGTGTAGATTGGTGGAGTTCTTATGTCAATACTTGTAGTGACCAATCAAAAAGGGAGATTTAGCTATTCATAATAATAACATGTCTATACATGAACTTAAAAACCAAAAATGTATTGAGAAATGTTGCCATTACTGTGTCAATACATGTGATGTACTTGACAACCCAAGAAACAACAACAACGAATGCCATAATAGTCATGGTTATGCCACATTTTGTTTTCAAAGTGAGGAGCCATCTTCATAATTTTAATGGATTATATTTTAATAGTTTCTGTTAAATTATTTATCATTAAAGGTTTTATTTTAAAGAGCCGCACCTATTCCTTCTGAGAGCCTCTGGCTGCCAACCACTGCAATAATATAAGGTGCGTAAGTCTTACAGAATGTATGGCTCAGACCGCTCGGAAATGACAATTGTGTCTCGGCGTGTTGGTTGTTGTAGGTTGTGGCGTCTTTATGGTCGGGGGAGTATCGATTACATTCTGGAAATATTTTCTTTTTTCTTTTAAGTCGCACAAGCAACAAATATGTCTTTTCTAATAAATAAACTACTCAAGTGACATCATGAGGTGCAATACGTTGTGTGACATCATGAGGCGCCTTGTGTGTGTGACATCATGAGGTACCATACGTTGTGTTACATCATGATAAGGGTGAGTGGCTTTCAACTGACTACACTCACAATATTCATTGTATTCTACATTCATGATTTTATTTTTGTTTTAAACTAATAGTAACAGTCGTGCCACTAATAGTAACAGTCGTGCCACTAATAGTAACAGTCGTGCCACTAATAGTAACAGTCGTGCCACTAATAGTAACAGTCGTGCCACTAATAGTAACAGTCGTGCCAGCCACTAATAGTAACAGTCGTGCCACTAATAGTAACAGTCGTGCCACTAATAGTAACAGTCGTGTCCCTAATAGTAACAGTCGTGCCACTAATAGTAACAGTCGTGCCACTAATAGTAACAGTCGTGGCCCTTAATAGTAACAGTCGTGCCACTAATAGTAACAGTCGTGCCACTAATAGTAACAGTCGTGCCCCTTAATAGTAACAGTCGTGCCACTAATAGTAACAGTCGTGCCACTAATAGTAACAGTCGTGCCACTAATAGTAACAGTCGTGCCACTAATAGTAACAGTCGTGCCACTAATAGTAACAGTCGTGCCACTAATAGTAACAGTCGTGCCACTAATAGTAACAGTCGTGCCACTAATAGTAACAGTCGTGCCACTAATAGTAACAGTCGTGCCACTAATAGTAACAGTCGTGCCACTAATAGTAACAGTCGTGCCACTAATAGTAACAGTCGTGCCACTAATAGTAACAGTCGTGCCACTAATAGTAACAGTCGTGCCACTAATAGTAACAGTCGTGCCACTAATAGTAACAGTCGTGCCACTAATAGTAACAGTCGTGCCACTAATAGTAACAGTCGTGCCACTAATAGTAACAGTCGTGCCACTAATAGTAACAGTCGTGCCACTAATAGTAACAGTCGTGCCACTAATAGTAACAGTCGTGCCACTAATAGTAACAGTCGTGCCACTAATAGTAACAGTCGTGCCACTAATAGTAACAGTCGTGCCACTAATAGTAACAGTCGTGCCACTAATAGTAACAGTCGTGCCACTAATAGTAACAGTCGTGCCACTAATAGTAACAGTCGTGCCACTAATAGTAACAGTCGTGCCACTAATAGTAACAGTCGTGCCACTAATAGTAACAGTCGTGCCACTAATAGTAACAGTCGTGCCACTAATAGTAACAGTCGTGCCACTAATAGTAACAGTCGTGCCACTAATAGTAACAGTCGTGCCACTAATAGTAACAGTCGTGCCACTAATAGTAACAGTCGTGCCACTAATAGTAACAGTCGTGCCACTAATAGTAACAGTCGTGCCACTAATAGTAACAGTCGTGCCCCTCAATAGTAACAGTCGTGCCACTAATAGTAACAGTCGTGCCACTAATAGTAACAGTCGTGCCCCTAATAGTAACAGTCGTGCCACTAATAGTAACAGTCGTGCCCCTTAATAGTAACAGTCGTGCCCCTTAATAGTAACAGTCGTGCCACTAATAGTAACAGTCGTGTCCCACCCCTCAATTATGTACCCCTACCCAGTGGCGAATCTAGGTTTAGATTCGCCAAGGGCAGTTTAAGATTTTTTTTCTCCCAATCATCATCATCAGTGGCGTGACAGCCCATGTAGGGCCCTGGCCTGCTCCACCACATCCTTCCATAGTCCATTAGGAACGACCCATGGCTTTCCGCCTTCTCACTGAACCCCAACAGGTGTAAGTCCTTCTCTGCATCGTCGATCCATCTAAGCCTTGGTCGACCAGTGAGCCGTCTGCCCCTAGGTTTTTGCCTGCATATCACTTTTTGCTGCTATACATTCTCCCCTCCCCCCCCCCCACACTTCCACGAAAAAAACCCTCAGCAAATGACCGAATATCTAGTCTCTCAATATTAAAAATGTGCCCCCCCCCAACTTTCCTACGCCACTGCACCCACCCTCACGTGTTCACGAATCCTGTATGGTGTTTTGGGCTAAACGTCAACTAAGTTATAAAACATGTTAAAATGTAAATTATAAAATGGACAATGTATTAAACTTTTTTTATAAGATTCTCAAAAAAAAAAAAAAAAAAAAAATTAAAAAATAATCATAAACTACAGCTGTTGTTAAAGAAACTTTTTCATTAAAAAAATTTAGAATGTAATCAAGGGATATTTTTAAAAAATTTTGTAACTGTGTCTACATTTTAGGCTAACGTGATCATGAGGTAACATAAGACCATCACTTGATGATGTGACATTGGTGGTGTATGTTTTATATATTTGGGGGAGCATCTGGTCTTACTGGAGGATTTGGTGTAATTTTGCTTGCATGACATGTCGCCCTCGTAACTGTGGAGACTGTGCTATGCTTTAACGGAGACTAAACTAGTCGTTCCAAGTCAGCAGATCTCCTCCTCACTCTCCATGGGGGATGATGAGTTTAACGGAGACTAAACTAGTCGTTCCAAGTCAGCAGATCTCCTCCTCACTCTCCATGGGGGATGATGAGTTTAACGGAGACTAAGCTAGTCGTTCCAAGTCAGCAGATCTCCTCCTCACTCTCCATGGGGGATGATGAGTTTAACGGAGACTAAACTAGTCGTTCCAAGTCAGCAGATCTCCTCCTCACTCTCCATGGGGGATGATGAGTTTAACGGAGACTAAGCTAGTCGTTCCAAGTCAGCAGATCACCTCCTCACTCTCCATGGGGGATGATGAGCGCAAGAGAACACACCCTACTGTGCCACTGTGACTGGTGCCTCATATTGTTCTAGGCATTCAAATGTGCATTTGTTATAAAGTAAAGTTTTCAATAAAAATGGATGTTGTTGGGTAGCAAGTTGCTTGTGTTAGTGGGTTCTGCGTTGCTTGTGTTTTTGGGTAGTGAATTGTTTGTTTTGTTGGGTAGTGCGTTGCTTGTGTTGTTGGGTATAATGAATTCTTTGTTTTGGTGGTTATTGAGGTCTGGATACATAGCTTTCTATTGAAGTTTTTACCTCTATAACTTTTCTTCATTAAATTTCTTTATTTATACTGAGCACTAATGAAATCACTCTATACAACTACAACAAACAATATTTTTTCAAAGTATAATTTAACTTTTTATTTTTTTTATTTTTGCTGCACAAAACAAAAATTCAACAGGAAATGAAGCAATAAAATTGTCAACAAAGATGGAGCAACATTGGAGTTGAAATTTTGCCTTAACTTTCAGCTCGGTGGTTGAAGTTTTGACTTACTGTCAACTTGATATAAACAGAATATGATGAATAAAACATCTAGACCCAATGAATAGCATATCATCCGCCATATCAACGAACAATTAAAATAACCAAACTAAGTCATCCTCAATGTATTTAAATAAAAGCCATTTAAAGGGAACTCTTCCAAAAATAACTAGGAACTCATGGTTTCCTTTTTTTAAAAAAAAAATACCTGGTACACTAAAACTTTTCATGGTCACTAAGCAGTCTAGAGAAAACTGTGTCATAACATTGTGATTTTTTTATGATCTGGTGCCATCTAAATCTAAGACACCAATGTGTCATAGCATTGTGATTTTTTGATGATCTGGTGCCATCTAAGACACCAATGTGTCATAACATTGTGATTTTTTGATGATCTGGTCCCATCTAAGACACAAATGTGTCAAAATGAAAAGAACTTGTAATGCTATAATATCTCAAACCTATTGAGACAGTAAAACCAAACTGGTGCTTCTTTCACCTCATAAAACAACTGAAAAGAAATGTACTGCAAAATCCTGCATGTAACGCTTCAACTGAACTTTTCATAAATGTGTAGAAATGCAGTTCTCAAATAACGCTTATCCAATAGTTGACTTCAAATGCTTTTTTTTGGTCTTATAATATATCAGGACTGTTAACTGTCAAATTACACAGTCCTCACATATTTTTAAAGTGAGGTTTTTAAAGCAAATAAAAATGAATGGTTGCTTAACTAGTGAAAATACATGTTCTGTTACATTAAGACTGGACCATGACATGGCTTTCACTGGATTAAGAGAGTTTTTTTTTTTTTTTTTTTTTTTTTTTTTTTTTTTTTTTTTTTTTTTTTTAAATGTTTTCCAAATAAACTTAAAATTGCCCTCTTTTTTTTTTTTTTTTTTTTTTTTTTTTTTTTTTTTGTTGTTGTTCTTCTTTTTAAATGGTTTCCCAATCAACAGTAAACTGACCTGCTTTAACAGTAATCAACTTTTGTTTACTGCTTCATGTAAAAAACATAACTGAAAAATAAATGCATGGATTACTTTCTTGGTCTGCCGTGATCTGCTCCTGAAATCACTGACATCTCCAACAGCTCAGAAAGACCATAGATTACCTGTAGGTACAAAAAAAAAAGTTGTTACAGATGTTACAAGCCCTAATGAAAGAAATGGGTCACAAAGAAGAAAAAAGTTTTCTAAAGGCAGTAGAACAGAACCATTGAAATATAGATGGGATTAAGTTCAGGAACAAAGTGTCATTCTTAATTCTTAAATATAGCAGCATTTTGGGCATTTGATCTAAAGCCGTTGGTGATATATGCACAATTACATAAGGGGGGTACGGGGGGGGGGGGGGGGGGGGGGGGGGGTAAACTGGTCCACAAAGGGACATCATTAATTCAATTAATTCAGGTGATTTAATTTTTAAGTGCCCTCCCCTTACCTATGTGCACAATGATCCTATTTTAACCATGATGGTTTGTAATTGATTATTTTCCCCGCACTTTATCAACTACATAACTGCTAAAGCAGGAAGTCCTCCTCTTATTTTAGTAATAAATAAGATCACAAATATAAATGATCAAAGACAAATTATTTCTAATGCTGTTTCAAAATGTATGTGCATTATTATTATTTTATTTGTATTCAATTTCAAGCATTTGTCTTGCACCTTTACTTTTTACTCAAGTTATTTTTTTACAAAGGTTCTTTCAGGATCATCATATGTTTGAGAATTTATAAGACACTCACATAGACATGGGCATGTTTATCCAACATCAGGAGACTTGGCAAAAAGATTTGAACCACAAAAGCACCCAAATCGCTTATCAAGTCTATAACTATGAATGTGACTTACTCAGTGGTGTGTCTTAACTTTTTGCCACTGACAATGGCCAACTGCCTCCAAACCACCCCCCCCCCCACCCACCATTTTGAGCTGCTTCTATGAAATTGTCACTCAGTTCTCCTAATGTTATTTTGTAAATTACACTTCTTTATGTACCCAAGGGGCATTTAAAGAATTAAAAGAAAGACTTACAACGTTATCTTGTTCGAATTCTCCATAATCCTCATCTTCATCCTCCCCATAGTTCAGTTCAAACCTGCCTTGCCTTCTTTGTCTCCCTGAAACACAGCAACATCAATTCAATGTAAGCATTTCATGCATTAATTCAGTGTTAAATAGTTCATGCATCAACTCAATGTTTAGAAATTAATTATTGTAAAAACAATTTGAGAAAGTACTTTGAACATCTATCCTCTGGGAAAACAAATACGACTGGTGACAATTAAATTTCAAAAGAACAATTTGTTGATAGTTATTTTAAGCAGATGAGCCAAATAGGGTAAGTTAAACAGTTCTTTTTTAAACTTACCTAATGACTTAACTGGAACGAAGTTGGAAAGAGTTAGAGAAGATTTCAAGGGACCAGAAGGAGTGGAAATATTATTGTTAATGGTCTTTCCTCCACAGGGAGATGATATTGCAAAGAAGAAGTAATACCTAACCGGATCAATCTATCGCTTAATTCACTGAGAAGCAAATGTATTATAAAAAAGTGACTGAAATTTTTTTTAAATAAAATAAATTCATAGGGCAAGTCTATGCTACCCTTGGCATAATTGTTTTTTCTTGAAATATTGCAACTAAATGAATTTCTAAATTCTTATCTGAGATGTATTATTTGAAGATAAGAATTAATATTTAAAGATAACATTTTGAATTTCATTTTGGTGTTCTATAATTCTATACCCTTTCCTTAAAAAACAAGAACAATTTGTAATTTATTTTATTTGCAAAAAATAAAAAAATATAAGTTATTTAATATTCATATGTATAAATTTTTTCACCAAAATTTTACTTGGCACTGATTAAGACTTGGTGATTTCAACACAAGATTATACTTATGAAAATATAAAACAGTTTTATAACTACCGGTGTAAGAATTGCAACAAAACTCAACAATTAAATACTTTTCTTACCTTTCTCCTTTTTCAACTCTACTTGAACTGAGAAGGACTCAGAGTCAACATGAAGAACTTTGGCCTCCTGTTATAGAATATTGGTAGGGAGGAAAGAAAACAGTATAGGTTGGATATACATGTCTTCACAGAGTCCAGCTTTTGAAGTTAGAAAATAGAAATGAACAGCACATGGCTGACCTTTAAATATTAACAGGCGTCCAGCTTTGTGTATTTAATAAATTCTAGATCACAAAGCTGAGGGGGATTTTAATTAGAAGGAAAATTATGTATGGTCTTTAAATAATTTTGGTTCACATTTTCTCTTTAACACCTGACCACATACTAGAAATAGGAAAAAAAATGGAATGTTTTAGATTTATTTTGCAATATGAATTGAGTTATTATGGACTGTGTATCACAAATTCATAAAACAGTTTGACAAACCTTGAAGTCAGACAGGGTAGGTGTGTAGTCATCTGATAGTTCAAGAACCTAGAACGTAAATATATATTTAAAATTAACCAAGTTCTAGGACATAAGATTGTTTTTTTTAAACACTTCTCATTCTTTATGTTGTTGGTGTTGTGATAGTGTGGATGGCCCTTTTTTTTTATCCCATGCCAACTTGGCTGCTAACAAGCAACTTTGCTGATCGTTGTTTTTTGGGTTTTTTTAACAACATACTGCTCTGTAAAGTTATTTTTGATATCAGATTAAATAATCAGATGTGACTGGACTTCCACAACAACAAATATTGTAAATGAATAAGTGCCCATGTATATTAGCAAACACCATTATGAATGTCACGATAACACTGAGAAAATGTATGAATTCTTCTGAAAATAAGAATTTACATCATAGATTACATTCTTTGAAATTTACGTCTTTAAATTGAAAAAAATAGTATTTTCTACATTAGAAATTTGTTTTATGTTTAAAAAATGGTTAAAGATTAAAAAAGTAAATATATTAATTCACAAAACAAAGAAGAATTCATTGAAAAGCAACAAAAACTACTACCACCACCTCCATACTTACTTCAACTACTACCACAACCTCCATACTTACTTCAACTACTACCACAACCTCCATACTTACTTCAACTACTACCACAACCTCCATACTTACTTCAACTACAACAGACCTGTTTACTCTTATGATTTTGGCGTATAATGTACGATTTTGAGGTGTATACATCATATATACTGTAGGGCTATTTTTTTTTACTATTAAGATAATGTATTCAACGAGTTTGTGATGATATTGTACGATTTTAAGTGTTTGAGGGTAAACAGATCAGCTACTACCATCACCTCCATACTTACTTCAAATACTACCACCACCTTCATACTTACTTTGAAAACCAGAATATCCCCTGCCTTTGGTAGACCTTTTAGTTTCTCATCGTTGACATCAGCTGACTTAAAACTTTGGTTGGATGAAGTCTGAGTAATGATAGCTCTGCTGGTATCTGTTGATTGACGTAATTCAGTGGCCTGTCTTTGGGCTGGACTTGGCTGGAGTGAGGTGGCCTACATATGATTGGAGAAAATTGTTTATAACGATAAAACTTTAACTTCTCAGAGGTGTTATCCCATTTTTCCTCTTCAATTTCAATAATTACTTTTTCACAAAAGAAGTTTTACTGACTCTATTTGAAACTAATGCTTAATTGAAATGAGATTTTCTTTTTTTTAAATTTAATAATTATGTGAAATAGAAAATGTTTATGATAATTTGAGAAAAATTAAAATAAAGCCCAATTCAAATTACAGAGATAATTTTTGGGGGCTTTTTTTTTTATAGTATTTTTAAAGTAACTAATGATTTTAAGACTATTTTATTTTAAAAACTCTAACTACCTGTTGGATGGTTGAAACGTTGGTGAGCACATCAGTTTCAGGATCGGCCGCACTGGAAAAACTTGCATCAAAACTCTTGTCCCTCTTCTTTCTGTGAGAGACACAGAGTGAGTGCCCTGCGACAGATTTGCTTACCTCCAACTGCCGACCAGAAAAGCTTCTCTGTCTTAGGAGCTGTTGAAATTTATCAGTGGGGTCTATGGGTGTCCCCAAGGGGGTGCTTGTATTTGATGTTTGGTGTGCATCATCACTCATGGGTGTCATCAGTGCTCTGTCAATAAAACTAACTGTTGCCCTTCTTAAATTTGCATCTGACAAGCTTGGTTTAACTGGCATAGACCTGACACTGTTTTGGAAACTTCTATCCCCAGAACTGTGAGGTAGTACAGGAATTTCTTTTTTTTTCTCTTGATCATCGCCATTTATTTGACTACTTTTATCTCCTGACAAGGTGTTTTGTTCTGCCAGCTTGCCATGTAAAGGCTTAAGAATTCTTTTACTTACTTGTACTTCTTCATTGCTTTCTGAGTTTTTCGGTGCCGTAGTGGTCACAGGAGTGTCAAGGAAGCTTACATCCCTGTTAACCTCCGGCACAGTAAACTCATCTTCACGGTCAAATGTCAGGCGGCTGTTTTGTGGCATAAGATGAGGTGGAAGATGTAATGAGTAATCCGTTTGGGTAACGGCAGTTTCCAAAGGTTGGGCACTTGAAGCACTGGTCCCTTTCTTTTTCCTTTTGCGGTTCCTTTTACGCTTCGGCTGATCTGTTGTGTTTTCAGTAAGACTATCACATGTGGGTTTACTGTTTCTGGCTGAGAGCTCTTCTGCCCTCTTTTTCAACAACTGCTCTAAGTAATTGGATGCATCAATCTCACTATGTGGTAGATTACTCTCCCTTGAACTGGCGACAGTTTCAACAGAATTTTCCATTTCCATCTCACTGACATTTTGTTCATCTTTTTCTTTGGAGTTATTAATAATTCTTGTGTCTCCATTTTGAGGTTCTGGCATAAATCCTTTGATTGCATCAATAATATTATTACTAATTCCATTTTCTTGATAACTGGTTGACTCTTGGTCTAAATTAATTATATCCGTGCCAAGATTACGTAGGTCTGAGTTGTCGTCTTCAGATGAAGGTTTCATTCTATTTCTTTTGTTAGATCGTTTGCGCTTTTTTCCTGGTGACTTGTCAATTGCATCTACCAAACAACTGGTCATAATAATATTATTCTCACATTCAGACACTCCCTTTTTTTCTTCATTGCTGGTTTCTTCATCTATGTTTATCAGTGATTGATCAATTTCATGTGACACAGTTCTTTTCCTTTTTTTGTACTTAGTTTTTGACTTAATTTCAGAAGACTCATCTGTGTTTAAAGAAATACTATCACAATTTGCTGCAGGTTTTTCAAAAAAGAAATCATCAGAATGGACACCATTTTCCACTAATTCATCTGATTTTGATAGTAACTTTCTCGATTTGAAGATTTTCTGTTGACTTCTGTCCAACTCTAATGACCCTAGTTCACACAGTTTGCAACTACTGCAATAAAATAATTGAATAATTAGAAATTAAATAATGTGCTTTTACAAAGTGTGACAACTCAGAAGATTTATAATCTTTCATTTAAATACATTTCCATTCAAAGTTTACTTTGTATACATTTAATCTCAACATACTTCAAATAAATAATAAGTATCATTTTAAAACTTGCTATTAAATCTAATATTTATATTATTTATATAGTAATATAGCAGACTTGAAACCTATTTTTAGAGCTCCAAAATAATAAAATTGGTTCGAACCTTTTCATAACCTGAAATTTGTTTTTATTAATGTAAATAACTTTGTGTTGTGAGGAGCCCTTGTTTAGACAATGCAGAATCAATTTCATGGTAATTTGTGTACTAAAGACTCTGGATTATACAAGATAAGATTCTTTATAGATCCAAATAAATGGAAATGTTTTAATTACATTGTATATACTCATTTTCAGTACATAAATAAATACCTATTTAAAAAAGACAATATTTTACAATTAAAACATATTAAACATAATACATCTAAAGTATTTCTCTAGCATAGAAACCAGCCATAAATAAACTCCTTTAATGACAGCAATGACATAATTCGTGATCATTTAGATTTGGTAATAATATGGAATTCATTTTTCTTTAATTATTTTCATGTTTGTTAATCTTGCAAAATTCATGTGTAGATAATATTTGCCTAGATAGTAGATAAGCTGCATACAGGCAGTTTCTGATTAATGAGCGTAACATATATCCATAGGATAAACTTTTTAAAAAGTCTTTTAAATTGTCCACAATAATTAGTATTAGAGTCTAGGCCTCATGTTTATCCTTAAAAATGAGAATATAGAAGAAACACAATTCTCTCTAAATAACACAGATCATATGGGCACTCAAATCAAATACATTTTATATAAGTTGTTTTATTTGAAGTCATATTCATACTCTCATCATTACGGGCCATGCACAAATGATGTTACATGTTTGGTTGAGGGGAGGGAGGGGGGACGGGACATTTTTGAGATGTTGAGTGGCGGGGGTAAGCAATGTGACGTCACATTTAAAGCGAACATTCTTGAAAAAAAATACACTTCATAACACTAAATTACAGACATTTGTAATATTATTTTTGTACAAAACAATTGTAATTATTTTATTTTTAAATTGCAATCACTAAGAGAATCAGTACATGTATGTGAGGTCCAAGAAAGGGCCTTTGATCAAATTACAGAACCCCTACGGAGTAAGAGAATCTGGGTGTATGCACTTTGACAATCGTGACAATTTATATCGAAATTGTGGAGACGGGATTCATAGAATTTGGGATACCAGGTGAAGTGAGTTGGAAGTGAGTTGGAAAGAAAATGGTGTAGGGGGAAGGGGGGATTTTAATAAATGATCAAGGGCAGGGATTGTTAAACTTTTTGCAACGCAGCATCCCCTCACAATTTCAAAACTTTTCCCAAAATCCCTTTGTCCCCTGTATAAATTATATTGTATTAAAAAATGTTTTAATGAAAATAATTAATTAAATTAAGTTATTACAGTTTTATTTGTTAAATTAACTTTCTAGGAACAAGAAAAAAAAAAAAAAAAGTAATTCACAAACAAAATTCACCAGAAAAAAAGATTTACTGCTGCTAACCAAACTGATTTTTATTTAAATCCCTTTGTCCCCTGTATAAATTATATTGTATTAAAAAATGTTTTAATGAAAATAATTAATTAAATTAAGTTATTACAGTTTTATTTGTTAAATTAACTTTCTAGGAAAAAGAGAAAAAAAAAAAAAAAGTAATTCACAAACAAAATTCACCAGAAAAAAAGATTTACTGCTGCTAACCAAACTGATTTTTATTTTTAAAGGCAGGAGGCAGGAATTACAGGTGCCGTAATCCGACAGCCATTGGGGGGGTGGGGGTATTTTTTAAGGGTCTGTAAAGGACAGTAGTGGACAGATGGATTTTTTAAAAGAGAGGGGGGTGCAGAGGTCTTTGATGTTGTATTTGAAGGGGGCGGGGTCTAACTTTTTGTGATGACGAAGCGGGAAATGGAGAGGGGTCATAAAAATTTGTTTGACATCATTTATGGATAGCCTATTATGGCCTCTTTTTAGACTTCTTTTATTAGGCCCATTTCTGAATATGCCCTATTTACTATATATTCATATAAATATATATAATGATTCATGATGCATCCAAACTATACATTCAATATCAATAAAGACAATTTAAGTGTTCAGCACATATTTCTCATAACAAATAAAATATTTTAGGCCTCAAAAATTATATATAATTATTAGAAGAGGACTTGTTCATAATAAATCTAAAACTGTAGGCGTGGGTTAGGTTGCACAAAACATTCTGGACACTTACGTCACTTTAACAGATACTAAGTCATCATCTTTTAAAATTTCTGATCTTTCACAGCTAGGTAAAACACAGTTGTCGATACTTAGACGACATGATTCAAATCTGATCAATTTTGTCACGGTCTTTGGCTTCACAGTCACAGGATGAGGAGTTATTGTAATACTTTGTTTATTAGCAAGAGTTGCGATGGGAACTGTAGAACTGTGATTGGTTTTGGTTGATGTTTTTGTACGAGATTTTGGTTTTTGCTGATCATCACTTTCTGCATTGCTTTCAAATATTTCAGCTTCATTATCTGATTCCATACTCAAACTCCAGTTACCACTATTTTTTAATTTATTGTCAATTATTTTTATTTTGTTGGCACGCATATTGAGCTTGGACAAAATTGTATCTTTAACATCGTGAATAGAATGGCATTCCGCAAAAAATACCATCATCCAAAAAGGTTCTATGGTAATAGTTTTAATAGCAGAATCAACCACTATTTCCGTGGGGAACATTCTAACTTTGAGCCTAACGCCGTCTCCACGTTTTCCGTGAGATGCCATTTTTGTTTTAGAGAAAACGAAACAGGAAGTAGAATTACAATTACTATATTAACGACGCTTGTAGAGTTAAATACAAAAACTCTGTTCACGAAATTTAGTTCCAATTATTAATTGTCTTTATCCTTTTTTGCTTCAATTGATGTGCTAGAGCTAAAAAGAAGATGAAGTCACAAGTTTATCATCAGATATATCAAAAGGTAGGGCTTCTTTGAAGTGATCGGTTGCTTGTTATGAACAGACAAACAATATTCAAAAGTATATGGATTAAACTGATGTTTTTTCTTCTTCTAATTGTGCAGGGCAAGGACTTGCCACGTAATGTCTTGTCAACATATCACGTTAGGGAAAGTTTGAAAACTTCTTTTTCAGGAGACCCCAAAAACCCACATTTGGCGCAGGCTGTTTCTCTTCAGTCGTACAAGATGCCAACAAACCACCACATTTTAATTTTTTTTAAAAATAATTTCTTGCTAAAGACTTATGACATGACACTGTTCAACATCGATTTTGCTACTAAAAATAAACCATATGGGTTATATGTATTTTAACGTGCTGATTTTGGTGGGAGATATCTATTCGGAGAGGACGTCCATCTCCAAGAGGCTCATAGATGACGCTTTCCGCGAGAAACACCAAGCTTTATTAATCACAATTATTTCTTACAGATTCATCAACCAAACTTATCATTGGATGATTGGTAATTTGTTTCTAACTTTAAGCCGTGAGAAAAATTGAGCAAGTTTATATTTTTATATACATCGCTATTCATCTACTCTAGGGGTCACCAAACTTTTTTCACGGTGGGCCAGATAACGGAAATAAATGACGAGCGCGGGCAGGATCATCATTCTATACAATACTTACAAGCCAGAACGAAAGCTCTGGGAAGAAAAAAGACAAAAAACTAAGTTTAGTATTCCATGTTAATCATGGGTGAGTGGAGTGAAATGCAAAAAAAAAGCAAAGACAACCAACATATTTATTTACTAAAAAGTTAGCAAAGACGGTGACGTTAGCAAAAAGATAGTTACATCAGACCTAGTGCGCACATATTCGAATCTCACAAACTAAGAATCAAGAACGGTTAGTGAGATTTATGAAACTGACGTTTTGCTTCAAGCCATCATCAATGTTTTGTTTGGAATTGCTGCATCCAATCAAAAGAATTGTTTTCAAATGTTCTTCAATCCTCTCATTCGATGTGTTGACTTCACAGTTTCAAAATCCAAATAATATTTTAGTCAATTAGCAAGGGGGGGGGGGTGGGAGGGTTTGAGCTGTTGGTCAGTTTATTTATTGTCCTGCCATTTTTTTGATGGGTGCTGTTGTTTTGTTGAGAGTGTTGCACATCTAATAAAACGCGGTAAAATGATATTCAAAAACACACTGTCAGTGATCATTATTTACACTCGCAAAAAATAAAAAAATCCTAATAATTAATAGCCCGGACTAGCCGTAGCCGACAGGTCAAGCTATGTCCCAAAGGTCCAGCTATATAGCCATGGCCCACGTTGCGTTAGAACAATATATAAAATTAAACTTTGTTTTTTTTTAAATTTGCGGCGGTGTATTTACTATAAGTCCGTGTCTGGGCGTCACCTTCCATAGGGTGGCTTATATATAGATAGATAGATAGATAGATAGATATATAGATATATATATATAGATATAGATATATAGATATATATTTATATATATTACTTCTCCCCAGGAGTGTGAAGGGGTCGAACACCTCTGTTGGCACTTACTATAGTCATAAAATTATATAAATGGATGTGTGTGTGTTGTTGTTGTTTTTTTTTTTTTAAAAAGTGTGGGGGGGGGGGGGCGTGGCTTTTTTGAAGACCATATCAGTAAAGGTTAAAGTTTTAATAAAAAGAAATGTTGAGCACATTTTAAACTAGGGATGGAAATAAACGCAAACCCGAACCAAACACTCGGAACCCGAACCTTACCGACGACAGAACTCCGACGACAGAACCCTGTCGATGACCGAACTCTGCCGACGACAGAACCCTGCCGATGACCGAACCCTTCTGTCTGCAGAGCCCGAACCGAATCAGAACTTTCAGGTCAATGGGTACTAACCAACCCGAACGAACGTATCATAAACTAACTAGAAAATACAAAGTTTTACAAATATAGCAAATAACTACAGACAAAAGAAATGCTTATATTTTATTTGAAAATAGAAAAACAAATTGCGAAAACATTTTTGGTAAACCAAAGTGATATTTTTTATCATCCCCTAACCACCTCTGCCATTTGACATGTTAGCGAACTCAACCCGAACTTAAGCTGTAACTGAACCCAACCCGAACTTAAGCTGTAACCGAACCCAACCCGAACTTAAGCTGTAACCGGACCGAACCCGAACTTAAGCGTGTACCAAACGGAACCGAACCCGAAATTGTGAAAGAGATTTCGAGTCCCATCTCAATTAAATCACAGTTACCTTAAATTCTATGTTGGCTTGAACAGCAGTTGAATTAGAATTCAACAAAGAAAACTCATTTAAACTTTCTTCTATTTTTAGTTGGTATCGTTAGATATGCTTTAATAATACAAGTGTTTTGACTATTGTTTTAAAATGTTCGTGTATTGTTACATAATTTAATATATATATATATATATATATATATATATATATATATATATATATANCCCCCCCCCCCCCATGTGCCCAGTATTTCTTTCAGGCATGACTCGGGAGGGGGGGGTGCACTTATTCCCCGGGGAAAGTCAAGTGCCCCCCCTCCCAACCCTCGGGAGCAAAAGGGATTTTAAAAAAAAACTATAGAATGATTTTTTTTATTTTAAAATGAAAAAAATAACTAAATTGTCATTTTTAAACAGTTTTTAAAAGAACAATAACTGGTGCTTTATCCCATTACAATTAGTGGAATCTATTAAATATCGCTACGCTCGATATATTTGATGATACGTATATTTCAGGCTAATCTTCATAAGGGCTTATAGTATTCGATTAAAAGTATCGCACTGGCCGTTCTGATTGTAAGCCAAAGTTTACTTCCTATTGTTCGCACTTATCGGTTTATTTTTTTTTTCATTTTTTTTTTTCCCACAAGTATTAGGACTTAAATAATACTGCATTAAAATACCTTTAAATCAAGATCAAATACTAAAATTCTAATAAAATCTCTTGCCAAGTATCAAACATACGCAGTCTATGTTCAAATTAAATTTCATTATAAAAGCCTTACTATAAAAGTAGGTTTACATATTATGTATAAATTGTAGGATGATATTAGCCTTTAAAAAATAATGTTTATTGGCATAAATATAAATGTACACGATCGATGAATTTTTAGTTATATAAAATGGAAACGTAAAAAATTTAGAGATATTTTTTTTTTAAATTACGAATTTAACGGGCGCATACAATTAGTGCACATTTGATTAATTATTATATCGAAAAGGTCTGTGTTTTCTTTCAACGTGCTACGTTTGTAACAAGGTTTTCTGAATAACAGAGGTTTAAAAAAATATTTAGTCAATATTATTAAATTCCCACCACATTTTATCTTTTTAATATTAGAATAATAAACAAACTGCCCCATCTGTTTGCATAGATTGTTTTTTACAAAAAATATATTTTCAAGATGAGAATCAATTAGAAAGCTAAAATAAAGAAGATGAACTAGCATTTCGATTTTCACGCCAATTTTTTATTATTATTATTTGTGTGTTTTTTGTTTTTGTTTATTTTTTATTTAGAATAAATTCTTATTCCTAATTTGTCAATTTAAAATAAATTCTGTGGATTTTTTTTTTTTTTGTAGGTGGTGTTGTGGAATGTTTTAAAGTATATGGTAATGTTCAATTTATCTGAAAAAAGTTAAGGTCGTTTATAATGAAAAATTTTAAAAATGCAATCAACCGAATATTGGGGAAATTTCTACTATTTTGTACTCATGTCTTCTTTACATAATAATACTGTTTATATACGATTTATAAAAATGACCAGTTTAGATAACCCATAAAAAGCATAGACCTTTCTACCTAACAGTTGTTTTTTTTCCTTCTTTTTTGACGATGGTAAAGCGCGGAAATATTTAGCAAAGTTAATTATTTCACGAAAGTTGATTATCAGAATTTTTTTTTTCATTTGTGTTTAGCATATAAAATGATGTTAGCAAGGTTTTTTTAACACAACTTTTTTTTTAAAGTTCATTTATCAACCATGTTAAGGTTTTAATTATTGTTTTTAATGAAAATCACATTACTATTTAGTGATATAAAAAAAAAAAAATTTGCATAACACAGCCACGTCAAGCAGAGTTGTCCCTCGACCTTTCGAAACCCCTTTTGCCACTTTTTTGGTTTTGTCCTCCCCCACCTTGCGCATTGAAAGATGATTAACAAGGCAATATCCACATCACATCTTAAAGCCCTAAAATATCCGAGGCCCACTGCAGTTGTAGGGATGGCTGAGCGCATACGATGTTTCTATGGTTAAGTAAAACCTACATTTTTTAAGCTAGCACTTCTTCCGTTGCTCTCTATGTGTAGAATGTTGTGAAACTTAGTTTAAAGTATTTGCTAAAATGTATTACTTTATTTTTGATTTATCAAAAAATTTATTGTCGACTATAAAGATGTAACAGACTATATTAATCTAGGGAAAATACATACCCTATTGGAATGTATTTAGGTCATGTTGGGCTCAAGCAAGTAAGCGATATTTCTAATTTTAGCGCTTCGCACAGGAAAGTCTCAAATCCCTCATCAAAATTGCCTGAAAGAATTATCAAATTCAAGTATGCGCCAAAATGCAATCCTGCATTTTGAATACGTGCGACGGTCTTCAGCACGCTCAAATTCTACACCCCTTCCACCACGCTGATCAATGTTACAGTGTAGGGTTTAATATGAGTTTGTGCCAAATGACAACACTGAGGCACGCCACAACCTGAGTGAATTTCATGTTATGAATGGCACTGAATGCCATAATGTCTCCCTTTGAAAATTGAAAAATTCCTTCCCCAGATGCTATAGTCTAAG